AGGCTTACACAGTGCTTCACAGAATGGCAGAGCCCTGGCAAAGGGTCACAACAGAGGAACTGAGCTGAGAAAAGGCAGCAGGCTAGATCTACGAAACTGAAGAGGGACCAGTTGCCTCCCTGACCTGCAGAACCCCTCAAGTACCACATGTAATAGGGACTCAAGTGTGCCTATAAGACTTTCTGTCCGGGGACACAAGCACACGCTCTGAAGGGGCAGACACTAGTGGCAGCAGTTGTGCTGCAGTACACTCACTCAGCTTGGCTTTAAGGCAAGGCTCAGTGCTTGCATTAACTTGCCCCAACACAGGCTCCAGTTTGGAGCTGACCCACCTCTGGTGAACTAGAAGCATAGGCAGATCTGCTGGTGTTTGCCTGCTAAACACCATGTGGGTCTTCCTGTAGCTATGCCTGTGATATTCCTTTGGCAAACTTTTGGCTCAAAGACAGACAGGAACTACTAGAAACATAAGTTTATGACTAAGGTTCACAAACCAACCTCAGGGTGAGATCTGCATTTCTCGAAGGTATCTCCATAGATCCTACTTGGACTAGAAGAAGAGAATAGCTCTTTGAAGATCACGTAGAACAAACCACCTGTAACAGAAACAACAGCAATTGGAATGAAAACTAATCAAACCAGATGGAATTAATGAAAAGTGTCTTCTGATAAAGAATATAATTTTTAAACATAACCTGTTATACTAATTCCAATGAATACCACAATAAAATAGGTGATGTCTTTTCCAGCTTCTTTCACTGAAAAAGAGAGCAGAGAATGCAGGAGTTACAATCTTAGACAGTAAGACTTGCACAGCTTATATAAATGCTCAGTATTCTACAGCTCATGTAACATTCTGGCAGAAGAAAAAATTCCAACAACAGCTTCCATAATGCCTCATCATTAAGAGACCATGGAACATCTCTTAAGTTGTACTGGGCATGTTTATATTTCATTTCTAAGTTATCCTCAATAGCATTTGTGGCAACCTTGTTCAAAAGCTACTGTGTCCATTTCATGTTCTGTCTGAAGTACTGATTTTTAGAATGTAGTTCTAGACTGATTTTTGTTTACATCTAGCTAGCTATGTGACTGTGTGATCACATTAAGCAGTTTTATTTTCTATGTTCCTACTAGATGTTTTCAAGACATGGAATAGCACTTTTTGTACATATGAGAGCTAGGTTTTTCTTAAGAACTAATGAGGTATTTAGCACTGTAGTATGCAAGCCACCAGGTAAACCCCCAATCATTGAAATCCTTATGCAGAGAAAAGAAGTAAAAAAACAAACAAACAAAAAAATCTTATAAATTGCACACACTGAAAATAACTGAAAATAACTGATTTTATGAATTCTCAATCATGTGAACAATAAAAAGGAGGGGTAGCAGACCAAACTGTGTATTTGTTGAGATTAGTTTTTATCTGATTAGTTTTGATCTATTACTTTTGATCTTAATGTACCAGTAAAAGCATCAGTATACACTCAAAACAAAAAGGTCATATGAGACTCCTTTTAAGAAACTACTTTTTAAGAACTTGGAAAGAAACAACTCGTGTTTAACTGATAAGGTGTGCTTGTCAGTGAAGTACAATAATCACTTTACCTGCAGTCTTCTAGACAAATCTGGAGGAACTTCAATAATCACTTTACCTGCAGTCTTCTAATGAGTTGTGGGTGTTTCTCACAAACTTTTCCAAAGCACTTGAAATTTCCGAAGGTAACAGTAACCACTTTTCACATAAGTGAAAGAGACCCACCCAAATAACAACCATCCTATAAGGTCACTAGTGTCATACCCAGAACTTTTGACAGTTTTTCTGGAGGTAAACTTGTTTCAACAGCATCCAGGCAGGCTGTGCACGGTAGGTTTTCCTTTTGAAAAAGAAAGTGAGCGGCTACTACATCCTATTCCTGACGTGACATAAACACTGAATCAACAAGCTGTTTGGAAGAAGCCACATAATTTCTGTTCTGCTCGTGCAATGTGTACGCTGAGGAGTATCAACTGCTGCAAGCAGTATGATATGGAAAGTAAACGGGCTTGTTGGTTTTCTGAGAATTGATTTTTTTTTTTTTTTTCAAATTCCTGAGTTTCGAGGCTCTAACACCTCAGCTGCAGCAATACTTCTCTCCATGTCAGCCTCCCTGAGCGGTGCACAGCATTAATGCCCCTCAGGAGCGCACACAGCCCACTTACCTTTCCGAGCAGTCGACAGCGGGGTCTCCTCTTGGCGAGCCCTCTGCACGGACACGCGTTTGCTGTCGCCGCCGGGTTTCTCCGCTCCCAGCCCCCCCGCTTGCGTCCCGATGCTCAGCCGGGCGGCCCGCAGCAGCGGGGGCTGGTGCCGCCATCTCAGGCA